ATTATCCCACATCGTCTCACAGCTTTCATTTCTGGATACATTCTTCTACAGTAAGACACTTACAGGTTTAACTGCAAAAGTAATGGCACATTTTTTTCAACCAGATATTGATGACAAAGAAAATGATAAAAGTTCTTTACGTTGAAATTACAGTCATTACTTTTAATGTGGGAGACGCAGTGGCCTGATGGTTAGTGAGCTGGACTGCGAGTCGAGTGGTCGGGATTCAAGACCTGGCCGGGTCAATGTCTTGTGGTCCTAAGAAACATTTTACTTTCACCCATGAGTATAAATTAGTAGCAACAAATTGCCAGGGAAGCCTGATAAAATGCTGGTGATAACCCTGTGATGAACTGGCTTTCCAACCAGGGGGGAGTGGTAATACCCCTCATCACTTCCTACCATGGAAAACACCGGCTGTGGGAGCTTAAGTACAGACTTTACCTTTGGCCCCACATCACAACATTACATAGCATAAGAATTAAGTGCAGTTGAAATTAAGAAACAAACAATCAAACTGGAATAAATTTAACCTTGCTATTAGAAATAATTAATTAGTTGCTTGCACAATTTATCGTTGCCATTTTCCTTCGCCATTACTTTGCCTTTTGATCCAAGACACTCAAGGGAAGCCATTCTGCCATTATTTCAAATTGCTTTTTTTTGTATTTGCTTCTTCATGATTCTTTGGTTTGTAGTATATAGACTTAAGGACACTAACAGCTGAGGACTTCAACACTGTAATCCCATACTACAAAACATAGTTACTTTCCCTAGTTAGGAAAATTGAATGATGAAAACAAGAAGAAAAAAAATCACCGTATCATTATCTAAAGATGGTCTTCTATAGGATGATGAAACAAAACTATTTCAAAAAAGCTCAAAGACCATGGCAGTTCTAACAAATACGAACTCTATTAATTCAATTATTTCCTCATAATTATTTTAATGATTCTAGTACACAGACAACTGTGAATCAGGCCTGCATGATTTGTGTCCCACAAAGCTTGCAATAGTCTCCAGTTTCGATCCAATTGGACAGTCTTTTGATTTAGATGAGTATTTGTGAAAGTTATTTGATAATTTTGAGTAAAATTTGAATTCATCATTGGATATAATTACTTTCAAAAAAGAAACAACAACTTTGAGTTTAAATTTACAAGACATGTTTCGACATTCTCATGTCATCTTCACTTGCAAATGAGCATTTAACTGTTGTACATTTGAATTTAAATTAAGGTACGTTACAAACTACGTGTCAGGGCTTACGTTACATTTGAATGTTAAAAACACGAAAGATGTAAATAGCGCGCGCTTGAATAGATCAAAAAATAAATAGATAAATAAAAAAAAATAAATGTAATAATAATAAAAATAAATTAAAAGACCAAGGAACAACATAATTAAAAGGAAAGAGACAATTCTAGATGTTTCAATTGCTGATTAAGGATAGGTTTTTCCCACTTAATATGCAATGCCTCTTTGATCTTAATTTGGTATTTTGAAGCGGCAGAATCTAAGATCGTGAAACATTCAGTGTCACAAGAGTTAAGACAGGCCCTTGATGATTGCAGGTGCTTGTAAATATGCGAAGTTTTGTCCGAAGTTTTGTCCGAAAAAGTTTGAAAAGTTTTGCGCACAGTAGATCGATGAAAAGTATAATGTAATGAACGTACCTGCTTCTACTCCGGACAAGCTACTTGGCAAGTTCTTAAGGATGTCACTATCAAAATGGCAGCGAGTATGAACCAGACAGTATTTCAAACTTTCAAAAAAGCATACTCGAGTTATCTTCGTCGTGCTCGTCTTTCTTTATTTGCCGATTTTTATCCTCCAAAAGCTCTACAGAGTAGGTTCAGCTCCGAAGCGATGCAACATCATTCTTCGCGTAAATAAACATTGGCTCAATTTCCAACTGCTTTGAAACTTGATCAGTCTGCATCGAGCGATCCACTTGGCAGCTTCCATGAAAATACCGCAAAACACCAAAAATTGGATACTAAACGTTGAAAACATCCTTGTATTGTTTTCGATCACATTTCGGATAAAATTTATTCATTCGAGGTTGACACTGAACAAAGTTAGCCCTTAGTTCGCACTTCCTGTGTTGTGCAGTGCAGACTTCGAGCATCTAAAAATACTCTCGACAAATGAGTTACTTACAGACCGTTGCATCACGGTTCCTCGCAAAAAACCTTTGTACACTTTGTTGTTTTCATTCAATTTTGAATTATTTTTACTATGGATTTTAAATGAAATTTTGAAGCATTGATTGCTCAAAGTCTAGTCTTAACTGGAATCCAATAAAATGCTCTCGTGCCAAGGATTTGACGCGCGTCAATTATCATTGGTCGTTCCGCTTAAATTGAAATCTTTTCCCCTTCTATTGAACCAAGAGATAAAATAAACACCTCACTAATCTCGTTTTTCTCGGGCCGAAATGTTAGCAACGGAACCTCGTTTTTTCCGCTCGTTTCCGGCCCTCGAACGCGGTAAGTAAGAAGTATGGATTCATAGACTCAAATTACTGACAGGTGGCAGATTTTGCGGGACAGCGTCTCCAAAAACTCATCATTAGCTAGTTGCACTGTAACGCATTGTGATATGGTGTTAGTCATTAATTAGACATTATGTTACTTATTAGTAATAAAGTGTTATTGATTTTAGTAATTTTATGTTTGAAATATTTGTAAAAAAGGAACAATGTAGGCTTTAGGAAGTAACAGCCTGTACTATAAATTCTTACAGGTAAATGTTAGAAATGTTCATGGATGTAAATTCTTTGTCAAAGTTACTGGCATCACTCATTTACATGATTGCTATCACTGAGATATAATTTTAATTTTTTGTCAGCACTGCTTTCTATTCATTAGTTAAATTTTAATACTAACACTGAGGCATTTGAAATCGAACAGTTTCCCCGAAGAAGTTTGAGAGAAAACGCTTGCTGGAATTTTGTACAATTTTTCCGTTTTATCTGCCTGTAAAGGAATGGAAAATTCCTACTAGCAGAAAATGCTTATTAAATGTTAGTCACATGTCTCAATTATTATTATCAATACTATAAGTAATGAACCACAACATGAAAGATATGGAAGATGATGTTTTGCTTTAACAGAAATCTCATTGGACAGAATCTTATTGAACCCCATGCATCCCCTGTATGCAAGATGAGGAGTGATTTCTCCCAGTTCAGATTAAATTACTCTAAAAACGTATGTATAAGCCGCATTTGCCAATTCCAAGAATGATTTTGAGGGAAAAAATGAAACCTTGAAAAGGATATTTAGCAAAAACCTTTTTCGAGATAAACATGCTGAAATCTGATGCTGTGTTTTTTCAGTGACCTTAATTGATTTCCATTATTCTTGAGATTCACAGTAGTTATCTTCATTGTCAAAGCCCACAGTTTAAACGAAAATGATGAAATGTGGACAAAAAAAAAAAAAGGTTAGGAGAATGATAAAAACCCTCGTTTAGTAACCACACAGTTATTTATAGATGGAAGACTCGGCCGAGTCATGTAGTTCAGCTTCGCGTTGATATAGATGATGATTATTTAGCAATTAATCACAGAAGGCAAAGGGAGTATTGTTTAATAATCCCCGAGACGAATAGTATAATTGCTCAGGTGCTTTTGAGTTCTGTTGTGAATTCTGTAAATGAAGAAAGCATCCCAAACATTTTGTTACGATTGTGTTGAATACTCATACCATGATAAACAGGCAATTTGGACCGGCTTATTTCACGCTTTAACTCCCAGGAGAAATTAACGTGTAACTTCTCCCTATGATATCCATACATTATTATCCAACTGTGCCTCGTAGAGTACAAATAACGCGCAAGGCAAGTACAAATATCACGCGATAGTTGTACTCCAGAAATATCCGCAAATAACAATTTGGCGTGTTGGATAATAAATCTCACATTAGACGTTTTGTTGTATAGTATCGCTGAGTATTTTTACCCGGCGCAACTCGTAAAAATTGTCACGTTGCTGTACAAAGTTTTTATCGCAAGTGTTGTATTTGACTCGCCCTACGGGCTCGTCAAAATATGGCACAACTCGTAAAAATACTCAGCGATACTACACAACAAAACGTCTAATAAGATATATTTATCCAACAAACAGGTAATGGGAAACTCAAACTTCTCAACAAGAACCTGTTATCCTCATCTAAGATCAAATTCTCATGACTAATTAACAAGGACATGTGTAGTGGCAAGAAGGGAGAATAATCAGTCAGATCTTGGGAGTTAAAGAGTTAAGTCGATCAGCAAAAACCTAAACATCTCAGTTTTGAAAAGCGTTCTCCCAAACTCAGAAGTATCTTTGGTGCTCTTCACAATTTAATGTTCTTTCTATTGCGTTTATTTTGAGGAACTGATGAAGAAGCTACAAACATTCGATTCCAAAGAACACTCATTTCAAATGGAAGCCTCACATTTCTTTTAAACTTTTCAAAGTCTGGGATTTGCTCTTATACACAAGGGTTCCTGCTGCTCATTTTCGTGGTTCTCCCTGTTTCCATAAGGCACTAAAATATCGCCACATGTGCAGGCCTAACACCATTACACAGTGAATGCTTGTTTCAAAACACAACCTAACTAAAATCCACATCCGCACCCTTCGCACATTAATGAGAAGTAAAATTCAGGTGCAACAGTCCATCCCTACTTCCCAACATCAATCTCTCAACGGAAATGCATAGATTAATCAACTGCAAGCAAGCGTCATAGTCTTTCACAAGGCGCGATATTCCTCGATTATCAATTTAAGGAGATTTCCTTTTCTAGAGGGTGAAAAGTTCTCAAGAAGTATTTTCATACAAATTTTTAAAATGCAAAGTTTGAACCCTGGAAAAATTGATATTAATAAGTGAGAATTCTAGGACTCTCCGAAATTGTCCTTCTTTATATACACAACATATCCTTGAAGCCCTTTTGAAACAAGACATAGTTGCTCCTTTAACACCAAATTACTTTTTATGATCCAAGAGAGAAAAACTTGTTAGAAGATGCGTAAGGTTTAGTATACGTTGACTTTAATGCAGCACACATATACTTACATTGCACATCAACACTTGCTGTCCATGAAACAGTCCCACAATCATTAGTGGCCTCACATCTGTATTCCCCAGTTTCATTTCTTGTAATGTTTGGAAGCATCAAAACATTTTTGGCAGCACGCTGTCCATCAGGTTTGATCCAAAACACCTCTAGTGGAGGGTCTCCAGATGCGTGACATATAAGAGTCACATCGTTCCCCTCAGTTATTGTCAGATTGTCTATTTCTTGCATGGATGGAGGCACTGAGGATCAAGAACCAACAATTACCATTTATCATATGGCTGACAGCACCATGGGCAAAATAAAGCCAATCCTGTGTTCTAATTGGAATCCAGAGCGGACAAAATAGACCCATCTTGCCCGCTCGAGGTTGCCGCGTTGATCTGCTCAAAAGACTAAAAGGGCGTGGACTGGACTTAAAAAGTTCGTTATTTTTGGACACCGTCGGTGATAATGTCGCAAAAGGGGGTAGAAGACCGTCAAAATAAAGAAAACATAAACGACCTTCATGGGTTTATTGGGCTGCTGACACTGTTAGCTTTGTTTCCCGGGTCTGGGAAAAAACATGACATTCTTGATTCTTCTTGAAGCGAAATCTGTTTGCTTATTTATAAATCCTTTACTGACCAAGCTTGTTCGGTCAAAATGGTTGGATATTAGCCTTGTTCATTTTTTGCGTTTAGAACTTGCCAAGAAGGCTGTAGCCAAGCAGAGGTAGACCATTTATTCTCGTCCATAGTTTTACCTAATATTACTTTTGCTTTATCTGTGTATGGTTCTTCTGGGTCAGATCTTACTGTAGCCCAGCAGTTTTTAGACTGATATTTTAAACGTAGATATACATCTAAGAAATTAGAGATACATGAGTTACTTAAAGTGCAGGATCACAGAATTCATCGGAAGGTTTTTAGTATCCCGAACCACCCTCTTAGAGCGAATTTCCCCGTGACCAAGACTCCAAGATAAAACTTTAGAAATAAATCTTACACTATGCCAGCCATTAACACGGACCGTTTAAAGAATACATTTTTTAATAGAATTAGTCTTAAGTATAATGAAGTTCCGTAAATAGTGTAAATTTTCCAGTTGAATGTCTGCATTTACTTCTATTTATATATGAATCTTATTTGCAGGCATACTTATGTAAACAGCCCCCTATTACTGCTATATTTTAATGTACCATAAGATATGTGATTTTATCTTTTGAGTAATAAAGACACATTATTATTATGCAGTATACACGTTTGGATGCTAGTGAGCCAATATCCAGCCATCTTCACCTTACGCTTGGTCAATAACGCATATTCACAACTGTTTTTTTTTTTTTTTTTTAATACAGCACATCCAAACCAATTTCCCAATTTGATCAGTCAGAATATTTCACCAAACAAATTTGAACATTTCTGTAGAAGTTGCTCAAATGGATTGTTATTGTTTCATTAAGTCATTGCAAGATAAAACTCATATTTTTAAGTACTCTTCTTGCCTGAATTTGCCAGGTGAAGCACTGTTGAGAATCAGCCTTTAAAGCATAGCATGCACTACAAATACAGCTGCTTGCAGAAAGGTTGTCCAAAAAGTGCACACAACAATTTCGGGTGTCTGGTAATCGATGAATTTTAATAAGGGAAATAAATAAATATGAAACTAGGAACTAATGAGAAGTGATAAATACTGATGTGCATGTGAATAGCAGAGGAACAAAACAATAGACTATTACGTTGTAAGAATTTTTTCTTCAGGTCACTTTAAATTGCCTTGTTGATTTGACAGCATTTTCGTCCCGTTCATTAGCATCACTGAATTTGTTCTTTTCTTAGTTTTTCATCAGTCAGTCTTGGAAACAAAAAGCACTTCTACAAACCCACTGTGCCTTTTTCTTACAGTGCTGTTTACCATGAAATCCTGAGATCAAGAAACTGGGACCATTAAACTACCAAATTGTCAGTCCCAAATTAAATTTGCTTACTTAGCACAATATATTGTGCCTCACCCCACAAGTGAAAGGTCAAAGGATCAAATCCAGGCGGTTAAGTAAGTTTTTTTCAATATTCTTCATATGCTTAGTTATTTTACTCTTTTCATCTGAACACCACCTTTTCCTACACATTATTCGGCATTTGAGAAGCCAATTACCGAAACACAAAGCACAGCATTTGCCTTTCCTTTTGTGCTCTTGAAAACGGGGAGATTTTACTCATTCCAGAATACAGTTTATCGATACTGTTTTTTGACTATCCAGTAACTACATTCTCTTGAAGCAGCTCTCATAGTAACAGTCATCTATCCAGTTAGTCATAGCTGATAAGTTATTCAAATTTTAAAATGCAGTTTAGAATGTTCCTTCTAAGGCTGGTAAACTTCATCATACTAATTAATTATGCTAAGTAATTGTACTGACTCATATGAAGCCAATTTAAGTAAGGTAAAGATCTGAAAGGACACATGCCCTTAAGGTTACATATTATTTGCTGCCTCGACCAGGCAAAAATAGGTTATTCTTCCAGGGAGAGTTAATGCTTTCTAACACTATGAAACATTATTTGAAGCAGTATAGGCAATTACCTTGTGTACATGCATAAAAAAATAATAATGACAATTGCAACAACTGCTGACAAACTTTGTGAGCACTAAGAAGCAGCATCAAGAGTCAATTGAACTTCTCGAAAATATATTGATTTCAAAGCCCCTATATATACCACTACAAATAAAGAACTCGCTTCATGTTGCTTGGTGGTTTAAAAAATACGCCAACGATATAAAAAAACCAAGCATAGGCGTAATTCCAACTAGTTTAATGTGTCACTAATGAGTAATCGCTTCCTTATATATAGGTTATATGAGAATCACTAATTCAATCAATCAACTATCACTGTACAAACAAAACGAAATATCTGGTTTCAAAGGTAAAGAAATTGTTCTCGAGTGGGGGCATCTCCATGTTTCCGACAAAGGAAGCGGTAAGCAATACTACTTTAAAAAGATACCACGGTGCTCATTTAGTTGGTCATTGTATTAATATATACAGATTATATGTCATCCTTAACATATGCCTTGCTTATGTGAACTAAAATTAAGAATAAAAGTCAGAACATAGAATAGTCACTCACCATACACATGAATGGGAATCGTTCCACTTTTTCCTGTCCCATAAGTGCTGTTTGCCCTACATTTGTATATAAACACTCCCTTAGTTGACATGTTCCTGCTCCAAATTCCAGAAGTGTTTGTGTACAAGATAGCAGTGTCATTCTCGTACAGCTGGTATGACGTCACAGGTGGATAGGCATCAGCAGCACAGTTGAGGCTGATGACATCATTCTGACATACTTTGTGGTGGACAGCAGATGTTTTGAACTGGGTAATCTCTGGTTTGACTGGGAAAAGAATATGACAAGGTCATTATGTCATTCACAAGAAAATAATTCGTACCTTATTTCCTGTTACTCAACCACAATGGCAAAACAAACAATAATTAGTATATATGCACGATCCTTCGCAGTAAAGCACTATTTGAGCAATAGTGAAAATCAGACCTGAAAAAAATTTCAGGCCTGTATGGGATTCGAACCACTGACCTCTACGATACTAGTGCAGCCCTCTACCAATTGAGCTAACAAGCCAACTGGGAGCAGGCCATCAAATTAATTCGACATAAACCCGTAGATGATAAATCAAACAACAACAAACATATGAAACATATGTATGAACTGCGGTTATGAAACGTATATGTGCACGATCCTTCGCAGTAAAGCACTATTTGAGCAATAGTGAAAATCAGACCTGAAAAAAATTTCAGGCCTGTACGGGATTCGAACCACTGACCTCTGCGATACTAGTGCAGCGCTCTACCAATTGAGCTAACAAGCCAACTGGGAGCAGGCCATCAAATTAATTCGACATAAACCCGTAGATGATAAATCAAACAACAACAAACATATGAAACATATGTATGAACTGCGGTTATGAAACGTATATGTGCACGATCCTTCGCAGTAAAGCACTATTTGAGCAATAGTGAAAATCAGACCTGAAAAAAATTTCAGGCCTGTACGGGATTCGAACCACTGACCTCTGCGATACTAGTGCAGCGCTCTACCAATTGAGCTAACAAGCCAACTGGGAGCAGGCCATCAAATTAATTCGACATAATATATACGTTTCATAACCGCAGTTCATACATATGTTTCATATGTTTGTTGTTGTTTAAACAATAATTCGTTTATTAATTCAAAAAAATCTGCTCCAAAAAGAAATCTAAATAATTCTAAGTTAGTCTCAGCTACTTTAAGAGCATAATGTGAATAAATTCTTACAAAGTTGAACTCCTTTATCTATTTCACTTCTGCATATTTTCTCTTACAAAGTGGTTACAATAAAAACCTGCAGATAAGCTGCACCTTTTTTCCAAAAATCGTTGCTAGAAGTTGGAGGTGCAGCTTATCTGCGGAAACATTTGAGGTGTCCAGCTTTCCATTTTTGTGTTCGATCTAATGCCTGGTTACTTAGCTTCGAATCTCACGTTCTTGTTGTAATGCAAAAATCAATGTAAAAACTGTGATGAATGAGGAACTTCCTGTCAATAAATACCAGAAAATGGTCAATCACATGTCAAAGTTGTAGAAATGATGTTCATAGTATTAAAGCACTAGAATTGTGGGTAAGACTTTGAAGTACTTTCATTGCAATGTTAATAGTGAGTTTACATTCGATGAAAAGTGGATGACAAAGACTTCTCAAGACTCAACTTTGGACTTCTTTTGATTTCTTTCAAAATACTTTTTTCCAAAACTTGAGCTGCTAAATGCAGGGTGTGGCTTATCCACAGGTTTTTACCGTATTTCTGATAAAGCTCAATCACCGAGCTACATTTTCATGTTTTCTAAGTTCATAGCCGGACTTTACAATGTGAACTGATCACTCGTCACTCATGATGCATGATGCTCCATTCAGGGATATCAACCAACACTTCTCCGCCATTTTTTCTGTTACAAATAATCAGAGAAGACTCATATTTGTTGTGCCTCTTATACTGGGTTTCATGTAAATAAATGTTATAATTAGTTCAGTTTCTAAACTAAAGCCAGATTTTCAAGAACCTTTCCTAAACCTTTGAGGAAGATAAATACATATTCCTCTGTGGCAAAACAAACAGTGAATTAGTCACACACCTGTGCATGTAAAAACTGATGGCTTATTTAGACTTGAAAAAGAATTTCTGTTGGGTGATTTCCAAACTCCATGCTTGGTTTTGGTAGAACAGCCTAACATAGCTGAGGAAGAAGTTTAAAGTTGGTTTTCTCCTACATTATTAGATGTGATTTGAGAAGTCTTTTTCTGACCAAATTTTTTTAACAATAATTGTAAGTGTTATATGGCACAATATACAAAATCACATTTCAGTTGTGTTCTCATCACATTTTCAGTTATGATGGGTTAATTGGCCTTAGTTCTCAATCAACCTGCTTTAGGGCACTTCCATGATTGCACGCATTACCTTCAGAATCAGTTTTCAAACTTTCATCTGGTGACCTGGTAACCAAACTTTCATCTGGTAACATCGTGGTGGTGGTGTCTGCGCCTTTGTATTGTCGGGCATCCCCTGCAAGCGCCGGTCTGAGTTGGAAAATCCACATATTGAATGTCTTTGGCTGTGGCTTAGACCACATCGACTTCCCAGATCCATTACTGGCATTATCATGGGCGTTTTTTACATTCCACCGGACAGCAAAGCCCAAGATCAACGGAACGCCACAAACTATTTAATCGAAACATTGGACTCTGTTCGTAGTGAACATCCTGACTGTGGGATAGCATTGTTTGGTGATTTTAACAACCTGGATATTTCAGATCTACTCAACAACCACAACTTAACTCACTTAGTTGACCAACCAACAAGGGGTTCTGCAATTTTGGACTTGATTATCTCAAACATGCATTCTTACTATAGTAAACCGACAGTTTTGGCTCCTATTGGCACCTCTGATCACAATGCCCTTGTTTGGCATCCCAACCACCACCATCCTATTAATCATCCACCCAAAGCAACCCGTCGACTACGTCGCTTCCCACGCTCAGGACTTGATGCCTTTGGAAGAAGGTTAACCTCCCAGGTTTGGCTTACTGATTCTTCTAACATCATAACAGCTTCTACTTTCACATCAAATATTTCTCAAACTATTGACTGTTTCTTCCCGGAGCGAACTGTCAAACTTTGTCACACAGACAAGCTGTGGATGACGGCTTCTCTTAAACACCTAATATTAGAGCGTCAAGCCGCCTATCATAGTGGTGATCTCCATTTATGGCGTATTTACCGTGACAAGGTGCGAACATCTATTACACAAAGAAAGAAACAATTCTACTCAGAGAAAATCCAACACCTGAAAAAAGCAGACTCTCGAAAATGGTGGAACTACTTTAACAAAGTCTCTGGTAGATCCTGTTCATCAGCTACCTCTACTAACAGTTTTGTTATCGATGGAGTGACTAAATCTCCTAACGAGCTGGTTAATGACTTAAATAAGTTCTTCCTTTCTGCAAATGAGGACATTCCTGCTTTAGATCCATGCCAACTCACAGCCTACTTACCATGCTCTGAGAGAGCACCGTTCATCAGCCCACCACAAGTGTGTCAAAAACTGCTCAAGCTAAATCCATCTAAAGCTACAGGGCCAGATAATACCCCTCCACATATCCTCAGAGAATTCGCTTTTGAGTTTGCTGACCCAGTTGCAAACCTGTTTAGCTCAAGTTTAGCTTTGGGTATTGTTCCAGACATCTGGATGGCTGCGAACATAACACCTGTTCCCAAAGAGTCTGTACCAAGATCCCTCAGTGACTTCCAGCCTATCTCACTCGCGCCATGCCTCTCTAAAGTATTAGAGGAATTCGTCACATGCTGGGTCCTCGAAGATATCCAGAGTAAAATTGCTCCACGCCAGTTTGGTTGCTTGAAAGGCACATCTACAACCCTGTGTCTCATGGATATGCTCCACGAATGGCTATCTAGCCTCGATACCCCTGGTAACACTTTGCGTATTTGTATGCTGGACTTCAGTAAAGCCTTCGATAGGATAAATCTCAACATCCTAATGCTCAAACTTATTAACTTAGGGGTACGTAGGTCTTTATTACCTTGGATTTGTAGTTTTGTATCCAATAGAAGACAACAAGTCAAGATTATTGATTCCTTCTCTGACTGGTCATATGTAAACGCTGGGGTCCCACAAGGGACTAAATTGGGTCCGATCCTATTTTTAGTTAAGGTGAATGAGCTTACTCCAACCAGTTCATTCTGGAAGTACGATGATGACCAAACCACTGCTGAAGTTCTACCTCGAGAAGGTTCATCAACTATCCAAACCACCCTGGATGATATATCCACCTGGTGTTCTTCAAATTACATGAAATTGAACCCAAAAAAGTGCAAAGAACTCAGAATATGCTTCCTACCTAACCCTCCCACTCTATCACAGTTGACTATTCATAACATCTCAATCGAAGTAGTTGAAAGTCACAAGCTCCTAGGAGTGCTCATTCAAAATGATCTAAAATGGCGTAGTCACATTCTTAGCATTACAAAGAAAGCTGCTCAGTGACTTTATATCCTTCGTGTCCTGCGCCGCAATGGCCTTCCACCCAAGGATTTACTTAGTGTCTATACTGCTCTAATACGTTCTGTTTTAGAATACGCATGCCAGGTATGGCATTCTAGCCTTCCATCTTACCTAGGGGACAATTTAGAACAGATACAAAGAAGAGCTTTCAGGATAATCGAACCACTAATTTCTTACAGAAATGCATGTAATGTTTTGAATTACCCCACACGGGAAGAAAATAGGGAACGTCTTTGCCTCGAACAGTTCAAGAAAATTAAAAACTCACAGTTCTCATCATTAATTCCACACAAAAAAATTGGCGCACACGGTCGTCAGCTGCGCTCCAGCAATAACTTGACTCTTTTTAAATGTTGGACAAAACAATTTCAAATAAGTATTTTTCCGGCAATGACGTCAAAGCTTAATGAATTATTGCAATAGACTTATATCACATTTGTAATAATTTGTTAATAGAATCTTGTGAGCCGGTAACCCAGTCCCCTGGCAAAATTTTTATTTATACAGTCTCATTTAATTTGTAAATATTTTTTGTAATTTCTTATAAATATGAAGTATTTCATTTTAGTGCCGAATTCATATCTAATAAACCCTTACCATTACCACAACCTTGTTCATAAATGTAAACAAGCCTAATACTTTGGATAAAAGAAAGGATAATTACTATTCTGAGGTACACAGTCAACCATCCAATCTATAACTCCTCAAAGCATCTTGTTTTGGACTGATAATATTGATGGTTTAGTCAAGAAAATCAAACATAGGAGCCAAGTCCAATGGCAAAGATTAGTTATCCAGTCCTTTTGTAATATTTTCATTCTGCTACAATGTATTGATCTATAAGGTACAGTTTACTACTAATGTATTACCTCATTTATTAGGTGACCTTTGTTGTAGTTACAGGTAGTCACCAAAACAAATTAAAATTTATCAAACATACAAAAAAAAAATAGTACTTACACAACACATTGATAGCTTTAGTCTGAGAGTCCCTTCCACATCTATTACTTGCTTCACATGTGTAATTTCCAACATCATTTCTGCCAATGCTAGTGAAATTTAATAACTTTCCAGCACGGCGCTCACCATTGCTAACTTTAATCCAAGAAACACTTGGCCTAGGAACCCCAGATGCCTCACAAGTCAGGTTGTAAGGATAACCTTCATCTGCAGTGTTTGAAGAGTTAACTACACCATCCACTGATGAAGAATCTGTAATTAAGTTGATAAATGATTTTGATTTGCACATTTTGTGATTTAAAACCTTGCATCTGTGCTACTTCTGCAGCTTAAAATTAAAGAGATTTTAAAACTGCCACTTCAATCATTTCACTTCCAAGATCTAAATGTATATATCAAATATCTTGTCTGTCGACTCCAATTTTTTTTTAAAAACCCTTATTGGCTCTGAGAATTTCATGGTTGTCATTAGAGAATGTGATACAGCATTAGGTGATAAACTTGATCTAAACTGAGTAAGCATCTGAACTAAATTATGCTTGCGTGGCAAACTTGTTGTGTAAAAAGCAAAACACCCCTCTAGAGGGTTCAGGGTATTCTCCTTCAGAAAATGTTCAAATTGGAAATTCTTTGAGTTGTGGTACTTCAGCATTCAGAGATACATTTAGCCAAACATAAAAAAAATGTTAAAATCAGTTTATTGGTACTTGTCATATCTCATCTGTAATCGCTATCTTCTAATGATAACCCTAAAATTTGTTGTTGAATTTAAAAATATCCCCTAGATGGTATAATTTCACTTTCTTCTTAACATCTTTCAGCTCCAAATATATTTAGTGGGGAGAAATTCCTTTTTGGTCACTATTGGGAGTGTTCAAGGTTAGAAGCAGCTCTACAGTATAGGGCGACCCTAAAAGCTGGAGTGGTGGAACAATGTAATGGTTGAGTGAGGGAAAATAACCCAAAATCCTGAACAGAGAATGACAGAAAATGATCATTTCATGTTGGAGGATGTGGGGTAATTATCTGCCATTCTGTGTTTAAGGACTTGGGGCTACTTTACATCATTCTACCATTCCAGCTTTTAGGGTAACCCTGAGTATCTCTCCACTGGATTTCATTAAAATTGTGGAGAAACTCTTTAAAACCCAAACCAAACTAAGTTTTTAGACCAGCTGTAATTTAAATTTTTAACTTTGGATGACAGTTAAAGTTAGAGTAAAGTGTTTTTGAAAAAAAAACCATCATCTAAACTTCAATTTGCAACATTACTAAGACTCCCTTTCCTATAGACCATAAATATTTACCACAGTTGCAAATTAAGCAGAAATACAAAGAAAATAAATTTACA